GAGACAGCATGCGTACGAAGGACTTACGTAGCGAAAGCTAAATTGTTCCATTGTCGTAATTTCTGGGTTTAACTAGTAAATACTAACCGACTTCAAAACAAAGAGGATTACAAATTAATTTTACTGTAGTATATTACATGAAACTTCTAATATTATCGCAATTGAAGTAGATTTTGGTGATACGCAAATATTCATATATGACCAGTAAAAGCAGTCTGAAGAAATGCAATATATTTTAGTTCAATAATATTATTTATTTACTTCTCCTCACAAACATGGATGGCAATAATAGATGTAGTATTTTTTATAATTGATTAAATAATTGTTTGAAGCAGTTCATCAATTAAATTGTAATTATTTGTAATACATATAGCATCACTGGAGACTTACACACAAAGTTTCGGTGACGCTCGAAATAATAATATTATAAAGAAGAATAATATTATGATATCTCTAAATTAATGTCAAAATGCTTAACGTGTCTATTAGAGCGTATAGGAGATACACGAGATGACAGATAAACATAATAGATACAATTTAAAATGACATATCCGACACATGATAGTTGTATTGTGTCAATGATTAGAAACAATATACATACATATTATATTATTTAGATTGTAATAGTTACTTTCATTTTCTATATGAAGTGCCTGATATGAATACTGTTTATACCTCTAAACAATATATACCTGGCATTATTGTCATTAGAATTTCTCTCATTCAGATAATATTATACATGGTTATAATATAAATTATATCTTTACATAGTATACAACATGTCGCCGTGGCTCTGTTCGTTTATATCTTCAATTATGCAACGGATTTTAATGCAGTTTTCAGTAATATATAGAGTGATTCAAGAGGAAGGTTTATATGTATAATATATGCATGTTATAGTATAGAACAAGCCGACAAATTCAAATATTTGTAAAGCATCCATGAGAACCCGAGACGGGCTCTAGTACCAAATAAAACATAATTTTAGTTTATGAATATAATTATATGATTCATCAAAGACTGTGCGAACTACGGTATATATATTCCAGTATATTCTTCATTTTAATCACGTTAGTCAAATATCACAGGATATGAAAAAAATAAACAAACAACCGATTTTGGATTGTACAAATATTTTTTGTAACGATAAATAATATATATTTTTTTAATTTCAGTTAAGACAGAGTCAAACACATAAAATTATTGGGATTAGTGGTTACTGAAATATAAGATATAAAGAGATTTTAAATCTCGGTTTAAGGTCTTGTCTTCACATTTCTGAAGCTTAATACAACGATAAAAATTCTTTATGAACGGTTTATTAATTTAGGACTTGGCTGTAGGCCAGTAAATATTTAGCAATGAAAAATAATGTGCCGGATCCGACGCTGTGCTGTAATTAAACCGGATGTCATTTTTAGGGTATACTAGTTATATCCTATGACCTGGCTTGCACAAAACTAGTGCCCAAACATTATTTTTTGGTGAGCTTATAAAAACATATAATAAACTAGATTATGTGCTTCTCCATCTTTACTTAATTGGTTAATTTCCTAAAATCAAGAAATGAATAATTGATCAATTTGATGGACTCATCTAGCAGTTTAGCACTCTGCTTTATTTCCAATGAACTCGGGTTCGATTTCTCGCACAGTATATAAATATTTGTATTATGAGTATGATTGTTTGTATCAGTCTGGGTGTTTTCTATGTATATATTTACAAAAAAATGTATTTGAGTATTTATATTAGTTGTGTTAGTACACAAGCTCTGTTTAACTAGGAACTAGAATAGGCATTGTGTGAATAGTTCAGGGTAATAAAAAAAAATTAAGACAACTGATTAAAGAGTTCTTAAAATTAGATGTATCATTTTGTTATGCAGGAATAGAGAAGGCATTGTGCCATAGTTCAGCTTTAATAAAAAAAAATTAACGACAACTGATTAGTTTTAAATATATTAGTTGTGAAATAAATAGTTCTTAAGTTTAACTAGGAACTAAAATAGGCATTGTGTGAATAGTTCAAGGATGGAAAAAAAAATTAAGACAAAAAAGTTCTTAAATATATTAGTTGTGTAGTACACGAATTGCTCTGTTTAATATAACGGAACTAGAATAGCAAAATAAAATATTGCACGTGATTCAAAACTGTTTAAGATTACTGATTATTGATTCTTAAATATATATTTGTATACTTCGTTCGTTTAACTAGGAACTAGAATAATTGTGTGAATAGTTCAGGTTAATAAAAAAAAATTAAGACAACTGATTAAAAGTTCTTAAAAAAAAAACTAAGGTATTGACGAGCGAGATGAGCACGGTTTGTTTTTTAGCTGCATTCAACACCCCTCCTCATTTCGCACGTGGTCTTGTACAACATGTTTTCGGATCGCCGGGAAAATTATATTGGCGCTAGTGGTATTGTTTTTGCTTGAAATTTATTTTTGTCTTAAATGAGAGACTCATTCCTTTGTAATATATTTATATTTTGAAATCATGCTTTATACCATCGAACAGTACATTCCATGTAATATAAGCCGTGTTTAATTTTGGCGGATGACGATTAGTAATATCAAATTCTGGTTAAATTTTATTTATGATGGTTTGGGGTAAGTGTGACATACGAATGTCGGGTAAGTGTGCGCATGCAAATAGAGTGTTTATTAAATTCACGCCTTTAACTGTTTATGATGCAATTTGTTATTTCAGAGTTGGACATAAAAAATGCCTCGATTATAAAAGAAATGCCGGATAAAATGTTGTCACAGAGGAACAGCTAGAAGCTGTTAAAAGATTAATTTCGGAGGTTGAGAGATAGCAAACGGCAGTGTGATCAATAATTAGTGTACCTTCGTCTAGGAATGAATATGTACGATGTCATCCATCCAAGAAATACCGAAGTTGGAACACTTGCTTTCTTGGATGAATGGTTATTCAAAATCGGCGTAAGAAAGGAAAAGTCAATCATTGATACTGTAAGTCCTTATAAATTGTTGGAAAAAACAAGAGGAAGAATAAATTGTAAAAAGAAGATACGACTTGATCTGAAAATAAATAAAATGATGAGCTGGAATTATTTTGCCCACTGTGTGGAGAAAAATACATATTTCCGAATGAACCTGGATCACAATACAGCATCTGTAAGACTGGTGGCATGAACAACAATAACTTTGAAAAGGAATTATTTTTATTTTATTATTTATTAGGATGTCTATTTTCTGGTTTATCATATATTGACTTATTTTATATTTATAATAAGGTACAATTACCCCGAAACTGTCAATTGTGCGCATTTACTAGTTTTGATTTTGTTGATTTGAAAGAATTTGTGTGAATGATAATTATTTATTTTGCGTTTAAGTTGTTGATTATTATATATATTTTATATAATAAACCTTGTTTTGTTATTTAACTTAACTGTCAAATATTTTATTATATGATAATTCAAACCTTAAGTATGCACACTTGCCCCACGTGACTCTATCATTTTGTTATGCAGGCATGAGAAGGCACTTTAATTGAGAAAATCGAACGTCACGTTAGTTTTAAAATTAAGAGAAATAAATAGTTCTTAAGTTACAAATAAAATTGACATAATTGAAAGTAACATCATCGCAAGGATGGAAAACTGAAATTTTAGAAAAAAATTCTGTAAAATTAGTTGTGGCGAATTGCCAAGTTTGCAAAATATAACGGCAAATAGAAAAATAAAATATTGCACGTGATTCATACTGTTTAGGATTACGGCTTATTGATTTCAGATAAATTTATATTTGGATCTTCGTTCGTACTGTCGGTATGTGAAACTGACATAATTATAGTTGGTATGTTCGCAGGTTTATGGTTAGTATCTAACTGGCAAGGAGCAAAAATTGCCAACAAAAAAATCTAAGGTATGTTTATATAAAGCATTAGAGCAATTTGTTTGTTTCTGAGGCCCCAATGAGAGCTAGACAATATATTATATATTGTCTAGATATGTTTTATACATGTACACCTGTACGAAGCCGGGGCGGGTAGCTAGTAATAAAATAAAATCAAAGTACCCCATCAATCATATAACCAGAGATAGTAGAGGTAGTCTACGTGGGTACCTCAGTCTCAACTCTTTCATGAAATATGTGTTTTAGTTGTAGAGTGCAGTTTAGGCAGTGAAATTAAAATATTGCAAGACAAGATAGCGCATTTATGAATAATTAACCAAATAATGAAAATGTAGCAAGAATTCGTTCCCATTTGGAATTCAAGAATATACACGTAAGGTTTTTAATCCATTATTTTAATTATGCGCACTTAGAATATAATAAATTTGTAAATTTAACTAATAAGAAGATTAACAGAAAGAACGAGCAGTGCTTTTTATATTCGAATAACAGCGCCTTCACTTATTACATGTCCAGAAATACAGATGTCGCTAGTAACGTCTATATAATAACAAATCACAAGATGGCGTTAACAAGCAAATTAAATTGAATTTTCATATCATACAGAATGCGACTTCATCCCGTACTTACAGACGTAGCAACTTGCCCTTTTCGTATGGATATTTCATTTACTCAAAATCTAAACGAATTATACACCTAAGCCTTCATACTAGATGTTTGGAAACAGCATGAAAATACGTTCAGTAGTTTTTGAGATTATTGCGACCATAGAGACGGACGGGGACTTTTGTTTTTCTTTTATTGGACGTTTGGACTATTGTCAGGTGCTTAGAGCTGTAGCACTGCGATCTACACAGATCTATTGTGCTCGCCCTTTTCAGAGTTCGCTACCTACACCCGTCAGGGACGTGAATTGAAGGATATTCTTAGTAGCGATGGTTTTTATCTCCTCAGGATAGGATGTAAACTTTCCAAATGTGATATTACGTTTATGCGCGACAGTGGGCAACAACCACATAGGTGTGCAGTTTCCTCTTCAGCTTGGCAATCTGACTTTGTTTTATATAAATAAAGAATAAAGAAATTAGATTCTTGCAATACGGTATATACTTACATGACTTGAATTGTTGAACCATAGCAGCGCTGTCGGCCGCATGATGGTACTCGTACAATGCGCGGCCGACAAGATCGTCCGGCTCGTATCCGAGTGCATTCTTCAATCTGTAACAATTATCCAAAGATATAATATACATAACATAAAGTAACGTTACAACTGTTTCTTTATACAGTGGACCCCCGGTAGTCCGACAATCATTTTGCAGGGCAGTATCGGACTATCGAATTTGTCGGATTATAGAGTACTGCCTAAGACCCCTTATAGTCCGAATTTTTTTACAAAAGAGTACCTTGTAATCCGACAAATTATAGATTCAATGATGATTCTTTATATTATATACATATACAGTGGACCCCCGGTTATCCGACAAACGTTTTGCAGGGCAGTGTCGGACCATCGTATTTGTCGGATTATAGAGTGCTGCTTAAGGGTCCTCTGCTTATAGTCCGGAATTTTTTACAAAAGAGTATCTTGTAATCCGACAAATTACAGATCCAGTGATAAGATTCTATGTTATATATGTATGTATATATATGCACTCTGAAGTATATTGTCAAAGTAATATTCAATAACAAATAATAGACAATGTCGGATTACAAGGGGGGCCGGATTACCGCGGGTCCACTGTATTTATATTGGAATGATGAAACCCGCCTAAGCGTATTCGCTAGCGGACCACCATAGTGAATTATGATAGGATGAGCATGAAGTTAGGTCAGGTAGCCCATCGTAACGAACTCACCTATTATTAACCACCATAGTTTCCAAGGGGCGGTCCCCGTGGAGGTCGACGTAACATGGTAAATTGTTAATTACTACCCCCTTAAAAATCCTTCCCCGTTACAACTGTTATTCGTCAAAAGAGAAGACAGATGCATTGTCAATGTCGACATTGTGGCAAACGGTATACTTGACATGCCCACATTTCGCTGAGTATATTTGAAACAGAAATGATTAGAGGGCATGCCTGCCGCCGTCGCTTGGATTAATTTTTGTTTTGTTATCGGTGTTTCTCACTGGAGAGTCAGTTAGAAATATAAATTCACAAACCAATTCAAGATTACTTAATAGTAAAAAAATAATACAAAATTAATCTTATGGTATATTTTTCTACCACAATTGTGGCAATCAAGCATCGCCATCTGATAGTAAACTGCCATTAAATTCATATTACTTAACTCAATTATACAAACTTCCTTAATTGAAAAAATTCGTAGCACTTAATAACTTTTAATGTACTATGTACTAAAAAGAAATCGTTCCTCTATATATAAAAGATCTTATCAGAAGATTTTAAAGCTGAAGAAACGGCTATGGTATTTCGTATGCTGTAAAATAACTATTGTGAGTCAGGTGAATACTGTACATTGGACTTTAAGATAACAGTGAATGACTTTTGATTTCAGTGTTTATTTATAACTTTACATAATATATTGGTCTATCTACCTGTCCGGATGTACGATAAGAGACTATTCGAGAAATGAGATTTATTGGTACCTCCTAAAAATATTTAGGTTTATGAATATAAAAATATTTGTATTGGAAATATGCCCGTTGATCTCTTACAGTTTTTTAGCAGATATTTAAGAAGAATTTAGAAATGATAAATAGATACGACAAAAATCTGTTTAAATGTACCATCTACCAATTAAGTGAAAACAAATTAATAACATTTAGGCATTTCAAGACTGAAAATAAGAACTAATTAGTATTTAAGTATTGTAGTGGTTCATAAACGTACTATTTACAAATATTTTTGAGACCCCCATGTTTCTTCAAACAAGTTTTATTTTTATTTGTTAGAAAACCTAATAAAAGACTCAAAAAAATTAGGAACGAATTTACATCCAATAAGTATACAGTATTGCGTGATGATGCAAAAAATTATTAATAACAATAAGTTTGGATGAAAGTAAAAAAGCAACTTATTAAGTTGATTTGAAAATATATAAACTTATAGGGACCTATTTTCTTTATATATTACAGAGGCATCGATATAATTTATATTTATTATATAGAAAGTTAATGGATATCCAAAGGTCACTTTCAATGTGACCTACAGTTCCACGTATAGGATATCTTTACCGGTACACGGTTAACCTTGAACGACCTAGCACCGAGTGCAGCTAACAACAGCTCAAAAGCAGATATCACAATCCATAATAATGAATATTCTTCATTAACTCAGACACAATTGTAATAAAAAGAGTTAATTAAACGGGCTTAAAGCACTTACTGTATTCAAAAACCCCGCCATTTCCTGCATATAGCAAATCCAACAAAATCACTCATTTTCATCCACAAACACGGTATTTAAAATACATAACACAATCACAAAACACATCACTCCAGCCCGGACCGATGCTGAACACAACTAATCATCACAACATATTGTGTACAAAAAATCACCGCGAAACAACACCGCGTAACCTACAAAATACATTTGAAGGTGATATTTTTGTTGATATTACCCGACCGATTTACACTGTGCTACAATGTTGCCGGAGCAAACTGAAATACTCGTCCATGTAATTTGTTTGTGTAGTACATTAAAATATCACGTTACAGCGACATCTTTTGGTAGTCACAAGTAACAGTTTTACACAATAATTATACAAGTAAACTATTGTCATTTCAATAAATGCTTTGATTAAATTGTATCATGTTAGAATTAAAGATATTGAACTATAATACATATTTCAATAATAATAATATATGTTTAGTCTATTAAATACTACGTTAATTATTTATCTTCATATTCAAACTGTAAGCTAATTTAAAAATAGAAAAACCATTATAGTTAATTGCTACCAATTTTTAAATTTTATTTTTCTGTTATACATATATATATATATACCAAAACACAGTAGGAATATTCTTGTACTTAGGAATTCAATGAAAATTGTATGTTAAAAATTGGCCATGTGTAATAAAAATGTGTGTGCTTCTCTAAAACATTAAAATAGATATGCGTCACTGGTTAAAACTAGAAAAAAATAATTACTGTATTTGGCCAATGCTGTCCTATTTTCTAGCGTATTGTGCATAACAATGTAAAGTTTATGAAATAACCTCAAAAATTAAATAACAAAGATGTTATAGAACTTATTGTATCCCATCGGAATTTACAGGTCAAACTGGGTACTCAATCATAAACTGTTATTACTCGCTAAAGAATAAAATAATTTTAATATTGCCAAAGTATGTTTTTTGTTCTTTTCAAAACTTGTTTTTATTATACCCAACTTCCTTTTCTTATCATAGGATAAGAAGAGGAAGTTGGGTATAATAAAAATATCTTTGTGGTCGACATCTATATTCATGATCATCTCGTTAATCACTCCTTTCCTTGTCATATAATCTTTTACAAAGTTCATCCACGTATTTTTCGACCATTCACATTTATATATAGCCTTTTATCTTTACAATATTATAATGATTAAATTTAATACTCTTGTTAATACTATAAAATAATTAGTGGTAAACTTACGCGTCATCAGTGTAAGTAAACTTCATATCCAGGCTGTGTTTGGACAGGAATGTTTTGCTATCCAATATGATCTCGATATTGGCTGGATGAGGAATGGGTCTCCCCACAGCGATAAGGGATCCGTTCTTCAAAGGTTTCTTGTCTTCGCCGTCCTTTTTGTCTTCTTTCTCTTGGTTATTGTTGTGCTCCTGAGGTTTATCGTTGTCCTCTGGAGTTTGCATGTGCCCGGTGATGTGTATAACCTGAAAATATATACGTTTACAATTAAATTTTAACTTGCTTTAAGCGTTTTTTATCAGTATATTAATCGATGACGCAAAAACTTGAGGTACAAATATTTTGTTACGGGTATTAATTTTACGAAAATTGTGAGAATGAAATTTCGCTCATTCGTTGTTTATGTAGATGAGTGTAGGTTTGTATTTTTTTTAATTATGTATAAAAATACTTTTGTATACTGTTAGTCTGTGTGTGTCCTACCTTTAATATTATTTGTCTATAGTCTTACTGAATGGTGAAACCACGAGTACATATTAATAGACAAAGCCGTAAATACTGGCCCATAATTATAATTTACTGTGTATGGGGATAACACGAAAGCTGTGTTTAGGTTTGAGGGATGAGACAATGAAATTACAGGGTGAAAATGAGGATGTGTGACGCAAGAATGTCTACACATGAGGATACCTAAGGATAAAGTAAATATCTCACTATTGTGCCAAGTATGGTAAGGATATCACGTCCGTTTTAATTGCTCTGCTATATTTAATTCAAAGTATAATCATACTGCAATTTTAAGTTAATTTTAAATTGTGAAATTATTCTAATATTGATGAACTTATTGAAATAGTTAATTTTAAACTTTCCGCTCCACGTATAAATATCCTACGAAACAGACACACTTTCGCATTGTGATATATATAAAATGATAAACATAAACAGAATGATTAAACCATTATACATTACATATATATTAATAGGAAGTATAGTAGTTTCTTATCAGGGCTATCTAATGAGTAGTAGAGTTAAAATTAATATAAAAAACCGACGTCAACATTGAATATGAATGGGTCAACATTACTATTAAATATTAAAACTATGAATAAATGATGTGCACTTTAGAACATTAATTTACTCAGGAATGGAAAATAACAGATGATTGGTCATTCATGTAAAATGCATAGTTAATTAATTTAATAAGAAATGCACAGTTATAAACATAATTCCTTAACATTTAGTTCGGGTGGCTCCCAAATGAGTTTTTAATGCGTTTCCTTGTTATTTTCCTGTAGAAGAACTTTAGTTATATATTGATGCAAATGGACTTTGCTTTGAGGCATCATGTTTAGGACTCAGGTAACAATTCTCTTAGGTTCTACAGATCTTAGACGTATTATACCAGAAGAAAATGAGAGCACAGCGGCTTAGTAGTTTAGTACCCCTCACTTATGGAATTCAAAGGTTGTGAGTTCAAATCTAGCCGAAAAAAAACCTGTATGTAATTTTGTTTAAAACTAAATTAATCCGTATAGTCTTGTCACGTTAAGTTCATGTATACTAGATAATGTGTCTGGCTTTATCTTCAGGGATTAAAGTCCTGAAGTTATATATAATTACTTATATATAACAAAAATGACATTTAAAATTTTCAACATGCTTCAACTACAAATTATTTTTAAACCGTAATTAATTTAATATACGTAATTAAGCAGTATTAATTAACATATAAAAATCACATCGACCATAATATGTATTTCGATTAAAAACTCATTTAACTATATTACGCGTTACAAACAGACTATTCTAGACGTATTAGATAAATGAAAGAATGTTCTTATCATTGTTGCCTCGCAAATTGCTATATATAACAAGAAATGGTCTTGCTGTATCATTAACCACATATGTATGTATTAAATATTGTAAAGAGGAAATATTTGTATATTAGTAACGAATAAACTAAAAAATAACAATACAGATTTCAATCACTTTTTTACCATTAGAAAGCTTGTTTCTTACTGACCTTACAGCTTACTAGCTGTTACCCGTAACTTCGTTCGCGTAGAATTTACCTTAATTTTTTTATTCAAATATAATTTCTAAATTATAAGGTAGGCTAAATTAATCCTTATAACATTAGCTATCTGCGAATGAAAGTCCCGTCAAAATCGGTTCAGCCGTTTCAGAGATCACCAAGTACAAAAAGACAGGCTAAAATTTAAATAAATATATAATTATTTTTATTTGTATAGTATTTATTATGATAGGAAAAAATATTAATACAAAAAACGTAACTTTCATAAGTCGTTTTCATTTTTATTTCTATTACTAGAAAAACTTAGAGATCCCTACTAAAATCTTAATAATAAAACCCAAGCTGTAAAAATATCCACCTCTGCGAAACCGGAACAGGCCGCTGGTATACAGCTATGAATAGTGAATAAATATCTAACCTTATATGAAGCTGATTTCAAATGCACATTTCTGCCCTTGCTGGTGAGCGTGCATTTTAAACGAAGCAAGAAGTCACGTCGACCGCTGCCGTTCGAACGAAGTGCTTCGCGAATCTCGTCGTGGTCACACGGGTGACTGAATTCAAACACGCTCTGACCCATTATCTCCATCTGAAATGAAGAAAGTTCACAATGTCAAATATAGAGCGTTGCCTCGGGGTACTAGCAGATAAATACACCGCCTTACTTCAGGTCGCGGGTTCGAAACGAAAGTCTTTAAAACGTACTCAAGAGACTAGACATGAACTAGACGGAAGAATTCAATTAGAATGTTTTCTCATTCATTTAACAGAAATGTTAACTTAATATATGTATTTTAAATAAAAAAGAATCGGTGAATGTACATAATATTCATTATCAAGAGCTGAACCTATTCTGTTATACGTTTTCTTGTTGTTTTCATAAAAATAAACAATAAAAACATGTTCAGTAGTTCAATAAGTTCTTAAATTTCCTTCATAAGTACACAAGGTTGCAAGATATTTTTATAATGTAGTTAATTCGTAAAGGTAATTACTTAAGCAGACCCTTTAATCATAAACTCAATTACAACGATCTTCTTACGTGTCTTCCGAAAAATGGTTACACCAGAACTTAGCGACTTATATGTCGCTTCAGATCTTGTTTAGGTCTTCTTTCGTGCAGACCAAAGAATACAAAGATAATTGAGATGATAAAGAAATTAATATCGAGACTAAGGAATAATGCGTGCCATTGCTATAGGATTACATTTACAAAAGTATTGTGATTGTTGTCAACACCAAATCAGACTACTCAAGATCGCATATCTACAGGCATTTAGCAGATTCCAGGTTCTCTTTTAGTAATAAGTACATAATACATTTAATTTTACTAATGTAGAAATTAGGATAAAAATATGTGCATCCTCGTGAAGTTCTGTGGCGAAAAGGTAACCAAACGGATATACTTTTACATTTGTAATATTCCAAGTATTATGAACTTTCTGAGGTTACCAATTAATATAGATATCGAAAACGAGTCAGGTTAGGCCGAAGTTACAAAGTTTGTGATAATGTATTTTAAAGAGATATAAATACTTTATAATACCTATACTATTTTGTTTATAATACGTAAAGAAGGACAAACATAACTATTCAGGCTGTATTTTACGATGGCAGCGATATTAAAAATAGGTAAAATGGATCTAGGAGACCGTAACAACAGACTAAATAGAAGCTCTCCAACGACATACGTTTAATCTGATTTTAAAAATCAAATATCACTATTTTCCACAAAATTATAGATAAATGATAATATAATTCGGGGCTTATCTCGTCTTATCCTCCGTCTTTGTCGGAAAAAACCTACTAAGAGCACTTTAATTTCATTTTGTTGTTAAGTGGTTATTGATAGGTACTTTGTCACAAATGTATGATAAAAATCGACCTGTGCCAGAGATGAAATCCGAGATAAAGTAATAGGGTTGCGTATCTATTTTAAAATTTCCACTTGTTAACTAAACTTGTTTATTAAATACTCTACTATTATGGGAGGAAAGGATTTTTTATGAATTATAATGGAATGCTTTATCCGCCTGCGCTACGCTTTACGCTAGCAGAGTACCAGTGGAGTATAATGTGTGGAGTATAATGAACATGAGGTCAGGTCAGTCTGTCCCGTCGTGGCAAATTTACTTTCAAATTATCTTTTAATTTATCATGATGATTTCCAGGGCAAACCGCGGATTTTGCTAGCAATGGGGTCAGTCCAGTTTACTAACAAAGTCCTTTCTTTCCAGAGGAAGGGATTGTCAATTACGGGGATTAATGGCCCAATCGCTAACAACGTACTACGTCAGTCCCTCTCTGCTAACTAGAATTTCTCCGCTATGAGCTAAGTGACATTAACAACCAGTGGTTATTGCGTTAGCGCAGACGGCTTTATAATTCCAGTATATTATTTTATAATAATAATAAGTCAATAATGTTAATGAACTGGCTTAAGTTTAATTAAATTGGCTTTTTTATATTCAAGTTTGATTGTATCTATATAAAATTCCTTAGTTTAAATACAGAAGTTTTAGCCTGAAAGATTAACAAACATTCATTCATTGTCACAAACTCCACGGTTACCATATTCGTAAGATTCCGTCTTATTAAAGTCCATTAACAAAATATTACCTGAGACACTCCCAGGTGATCGGCAACATTTTCACTGCAGTAAACAATGTCCCCTTGTTGCGACAGCACGAAAAGGAATCCGTCCAGTGCCTTCATATACGACAACTCTGAAGATACATCCTCCAACCCTTCAGGATTCTCAATTTTGGGCTGTTCTGTGCTGTCTGTTGGAACTGTAAAGATAACATTACGGGAATTAAAAAAAATATATTTTTCTTTACAGAATTAGACTTAGTCAAGAGTCGTCTGTGTGTACACAATGTTATTTATTTTTGCTGCAAAGCAGTTTGCTGTAGTAGCTGTGTTTTGTTTGAAAGGTGATATATTAGAGTAATAACAAAACAGGGCAATTCACAGAGCGCCTTCAAGTCCCAAACAAAGCAGACCTTGTGTTATGGATACTAAATAACTGATATAAATATATACTTGAATGCTTTTTTTTTATAAATACATACATAATATACATAGAAAACATCCAGACCGATACAAAGAATCAAACTCGCGACCATCGAAGTAAAGCGGTGTGCCTCTAAACCTTCGACACTGTCGAAGAGTATGGTGGTGAGGGGTACCACAGGCGTCACTTGATTACATGTGACCATGGGGTTGTTTATTCATATAGGCGATATCTGCCATTAACCGAGAACGTTAGCTTGTTTACCATTACATACAGTAACATTAAAAAAATATGGTAGGTTAATTACTGAGTGCGACATACCAAAAACGAAACACTAATCATTTCAGATAATATACAACAGCTGCAATTGCTATAGAAATAATGATCATGAAAGAAATATGATCTCATTCAGAGATAAGACGACCCTTGCAAACATTATTTTTTTATATTAATGTACTATTTTAAGTTACAATTGCAATAAAAAGCAAGAGAAAAGAAGAGCAAATTCAGGGTTAGTTGCCTATGTCAAGGTACTAAACAGAAAGTTAATTAAATTACTGTCTCAAAGAAGTAAAGTGAAAAAATTAACGTAATTAACTTAAAAATAAAGAATGCAATCGACAGAGAAAGACAGAGGAGAGTTTGCTAAACGCCTTTAAAACTAAGTTACAGTTCTAAAATCAAATCTAAAATCAAAATAATTAAAAAACCATAACTTATCAAAAGATATTCTTAAAATTATACACTTTGAGTTAAATTAGTCAATCAATGGAGGACTTTGCATTTTATTAATACAAGAGTATAAATAAATTGTTTGACAGTTGAATAAACTCCTATATTAATACGTAATTTCGTTAGTGTGACAAAAGAAAGAAAGTCAAGAATAATTCACTGGAATTCCCTGTATTGGAAGAGTAATGCCTAAAATACATATAAAAGATTTTATTATATGACATAGGGTACAAACGACCTTGCGGCTCATCTGATACAAGTGATTAACGCCTACAATGAGCACCCGCAATACGGTTTTGCGGGCTGGACTTTTAAGAAGGTATAAGTTCTTTTTTAAGGTTTTGAGGATATATTCGAGAGATTACGAACTTCGATCTTTTACAAATTGCCTGGAAACCGAGCGACAGACAATGTAAGAAACTACAGATTTGCTTCATACGTGCATAGATAAAGGTACTTATAATTTTTAGTATTAAATAGGTACACGGATGACAGTTTTATCATAAATCTGACATTACACAAGATACTTGACGTCTGTCTTTCATTTTACTTCATACCTACAATCAATTTACGGGCAAGTTTAAAAAAAATAGATAAAATGACAACGAATCGATTTTTATTTCATCTAAAACTAATGTCCCGCTGTAATATATATGTAAATTTAGGTAAAACATTTCTAAATTAGGTCTAGTATTTTTGTGTCTTAAGTAGTAGTATTTTTCTGTCTTTCCACCACAAAACAACTTAAAAAAATATTTCCTCCTCATAATATTACTATTATATATATAAAATAATACTCGACGGAATCAAAAAGTTACAATAATAGCATATGTACAACACTTTATATAAAATATAGTGTTGTACATATTGGTCGCTGATAATATTGTACAATACAATAAACCGGTTAAGTATATTTTTTATTTAGTCTCACTTTTGCTAGCTGTGTATCCCACATGGTGAAATGACTCTACCATGTCCTGGAGATCGTTCTTATACACTTCGCATTCCATCATATCAAACTTTTAATTTTGTATTGTATTAATTGTATTAATTTCAGGCAAAAATAAATGACAACATACCGTCAACATTGTTAACCCAGATGGAGTAGATCTAATGCCTACTTTTTTGATTGCGATGTTGCAACACTTTCTGCGTCCATATTTCAAATCAAATCAAATTTTAATCCAACATACCCCATGTGAGTGTGTTGGATTCAATTCAAGGGGGGATTTAAATTTAATATCAAGGGGATTCAGGGGTCGCTTGAATTAATTTTTGGTTTGACATTGGTTTCCTTCACCGGAGTGTCAGTCAGAAATATAAATATATAGGCGTGTGCCTACTTATATTTCTTACTGACACTGTTTATAGCGTTGACCATAATTAAACTCACGACATGTTGGGCGTAACTCAGGGTAGTAAAGCACGAAGCTTTTAAAAATCAAAACGTTATAATTTACTTTTTATATATTATCAGGAGTAATATACATTTATGTATTTTATCGTCGTTTTGCGGAAGTCTATTTTGTTTGCTACTTGGATAGATAAGGTAGTATTATTTAGGATTAGATGGTTATGTTAAGAAAAGTGTGTCGGTAATTTACTTATTTATATATTTTATTACTGTTGCCTGCAACTCCATATGCGTGTACATTTGTAGTTGTTATCTATATTATTATATGTTACTGACTATAAATCAAATCACAAAAAAATATATACACATAACGCAATTTAACTAATAAACTAATCAAATCGCTGTGTGAACAAATAGTAGAAGACATATGACAAAATGAAAAAGCAATAATTAATAATCCACCCCTTTGTGGGCTATTCTTCTAAGATTTCTTTAGTACACACACAATTTAACGTAAAAACAGCAAGAGGGTAGCTCTTGCCGTTTTTACGTTAAATTGTGTGTTTAACACAAATAGAAAGATAGTACATTACGGTAACATTTGTTGGGGAAAATTGATCACCACAAGTAGAGATATCACCTTCCTTAATGGTGGTCAAACTTGGACTATTATACTTATAACACTACTTGAATATCCAGTATCCATGTTTAATTGTAATGTTTCGATAAGACGCACATTAATGCGGAACTGAAGGCCCTAAGATCATATTAAATGATTATTATCGTCATAATATCCTTACATTATAGTCTAAGCAGAGAGAGCTGAATGGGATCTACAACAACGTAGTGTTTCATGAGTTATGTTGTGAAACATTTAACTGTTGTATTTATATAAACCAATTACACTCAGTTTTCTGCCTATCTCCTAAGGAACTGGCATGTACTTATGTACACATTGCTTCATAAGGCAGCCGAGTTCAATCGTATCAGTCAGCTGACTGAGTGAATCCAAGCTATCAAAAATATTTAAGCATATTTACGACTGCAATAGTGTAATTTTGTTTTTATAAATTTAATAATGTATTTTTAAGCATTATTATAGAAAAATATTAGCTTAGGTACTGCACTCTCTCTACCTCTTTCTCTCATATAACTTTATCAAATTTAATTGTACCAAATTTCATATTTTCGTAAAAGATCTAAATTTTATTTCACGTATTAATCATTGTCACATATGCCTGTTTGGCACCATAGTAGTATAAAACAACATAATAAATTCATTGGACAAACCATGTAGGTTACAATTTACAGTAAATATTTTCTACACTCGTATAAAGAAAGTACAATAGCGAACAGTCTTCTTTTTGAAAATAATTAAACAAAATAAAAATATCTAAAAAAGTTATCTTTAGGTATTTTTATTTTGTTCAATACTGCTTAATGTAGTGATTCATTAAATTTCAATTGGATGGTGCCAGACCGGAGTGACGTTGTTGTGGTTTCGTTAGCATGCAATATAAAAGCTGGCATACAGCGCGTGCCAAAGTTACAAACGAGTAGGAAACTTGTGGTCTAATACACCTACTAAAACATGCAGCGATAGAAGACAATGCCTTACAATTGACCACTACAGGAAACATTAATAATAATTAATTTATATACATAGAGGGTTTCAAAATTAATATATAACTACATGATTATTATAATTTGGTAACATAATAATGCATATAACATGATGTATATGTACCTATATTAAAAAATATAGATATAACTTAATATTGTCATCCCGGCCAACGTACACATTCGTTTGTGTTATCTAATCCCGATTGATAGAGACTAGACTGAAGTACTAAGACTATCAATATATACAATGAGAAATGAAATAAATTAGAGTTACAAGAAAAACATTATTAGTATTTTTATAGACCGTATAAGGCGATAGTAAACGGAGGTAGGTACCGGGAAAGGCCAGGCTAACTTATTACGATTATAGTGATCTCATAATGGAGACAAGAGTCTCCCAAACTGTATAAAATTAAGTAAACAAAGTCCTTACTAACTTAAAACCAACAATACTCTTTTCTCTTTGCCTAAACCGCAAGGGATCTGGCGTGAAGATAGATGAGGAAGGTTTTGCAATTGCGTCATGCTCAAAGTGCATAATATTTTTGCACTTATTAAAAGAGAATCAGCAAAACCATAGTCAATAAATTCAATTCTATCTAGACCTCTATATTGATCTGGGCTATACTGGTATCCTTTATCATTTAATAGCACAATAAGTTCAAACATTATCGTATCCATAGTGTCATTGCCGTTTTATCGCTAAATTAATAAGTTGAGATACGAGTAACTCGTCAACCTTATCTGTTTGACGAACGACCTGCCATGAATTTGTCGGCATAGATCAAAGTAAAGCGCTGAGTGCTAGAGGATCTATAGCCCGTGTAACATTGATTTAATATGTGCCAGTCACTATTCGATGTGTGAAGCTACTTTCTGATTTGTCGGTGCGGTATCGTTCAGTACCTACTTCAGTATCGAGTGTCTGTAATTCAATGAGTACTTCCTGACTTGTGATAACGGCGGATACCGTACACATAACTCATAGGTTACATGGTAAGGAATTTATTGTCTTTGTACCGAAGGAATATCGTGCCGGCAAGACAAGGAATAAGATTTCAGTTTTATTTCATTTTGGCGTGTATTTCGCTATAAAACTTTGGTTTTTTTATGTATTAGTGGCAGGAGGGGTATAAGTCTGGGCGGGGTGGACTGACTAACAAAACCATCTGATTTAATTTATCTTGTATAAAGTACATTAGCGACTGACCGATACTCTTAAAATCGTTCCGTCCTTGTGTTTAAAATATATTAATCATATTATTACAAGAGAGTTTTTTTTTAAATAGATTAGAACTAAATTTTGTTAATTTGTTTTGATAACAAGCTAAAATAAAGCTATAAATAAATAAATGGATTTGTGATTTATCTTCACTGTTATTACCTATTTAACCAAAATTACAAACTTTACTGATATATCCACAATCCAATACCAAACTCTCTTAATCAATAAACCAACCAAGAACCGAACAAAAGTCAAGCTCAATAATCAAGCATCGGACATGACGTGTTTGGTTTTTACAGTTAAACCTTCCTTCATACATTGAATCCTGAGGCATGTACAGAAGCTCTTATTTCAAACTCTCAAGAGTAGACGTAATAAAAAAAATGACATGGGGACTCATGTATCTACCACACGACAGGTGGGAACACTACAGTAGATATTTCCCTATAATCTACGCAAATAAAGTCAATAACACTTTTAAATATTGTAAGTCAAACACAGTTTAAATTTTCCATTCTACTAATTGTTCTAATACTTGGCTGACCTCAATAAACACTATTAACAATACAATGTATTCTTATAAATACACAAACATATTCCGAGACACAACCTTGGGGATCTAACATCTATGAAGATAATCTATAGATATATATATTTTTTATTTTTATCTTCAGATATATCTTTAATAATATATATGTATATATATATAATAAAACGAGAGCTGAAAACTGTCTATTTATCCGCTTGTCTTAAGGTTTCACGTGAAACCGATTAAAGGATTATATTTAAAATTTTAGTAATATGTTATTAAATCCATAGCCTATATATAGGTTCAATTAAAAAAGAAACGGACGAAATAATATTTTTTTTATCAATATTTTTCGACATGTCATCTATTTTATCAATTAATGTTTTAATCAAATATAGATGGTGCCATACAGATGTTGTATTTATGACAGTCATTTAATCATCATCCATGTTACGAATAAGTGGGTACATTTAGATCTTATAAATCGCAACGGATTTTAATGCAATTTCTGCGACAGAGCAATTCAAGAGAAAGGTTTATATCTAAAATACATGCATATTATAGTACATATAGAAAAGCCACGCAATAAAAAGATTTATAATACACACGTGCGAAGCCTGAGTGGTTCGCTAGATATAATGCATTCGTTTAATAGATAACAATCACCTTATTATATCTGTATTTCAGTGTATGTCCGATTAATAGCGCTTATTTTCAATATTCGGTACTCACGCATTGAAACAACGTCGCGCACGCGCAGGTAAGATATCGCCAGGCGCATTACGGAGGCCTTGTCGAGTTGTTCAACCTCCTCCTTCTTGGCCGGAAGTGCAGCCGTCAGTTCCGTGAAAATCTGCATCTCCTTATTGCGACGACATCGCGCTGCCACCCGAGACTTCTCCTTTCTCTTCTCATTGTTCCTGAAATAAAAGTAAAAAAAAAAAATATTAGGAAGATAGGTTAAACAAAAAATAAATTGGGGACTGATAATTAAAAGACAGATTTTTTCTAAACGACGTAGCATTAATAGTCACAATAAAATTATTTTCTTGCTATTATATAAAACAATTTTTTCTACAACGAAAACTTAGTATCACAAGTAAAACAAGAAAATCAGACATTATATAAATTAAGTATGTAGTTGATAATGGAATGGAGTTCTCAACAGCTCCAATGACATAACATTGTATGTGGGTAGATATAGGTACACCACGATGACGTAAAACTATAAAAAATCATACATGACGTTGTCCTACTTGATCGACATAAATACTCTATTTTAAAATACAAACTGTCGTTTACTCCACTAATGTTATTACAAATCAAGATTTTAGAACATATGCCACTCGTAACTTGAGTACTTAGAAACTACTGCAACCATTTAAAAGCATAAGGAAGAACCTGTCCTATTTGCATTAAAAACCGGCTTATCAACGTTACAAATACCTTTTACTTATAGAAGAAAGTTTCTGCCTCTCATCGATAATCTGTGGTGCGCCGGGTATACACATTTTTAATTATTTTACACAATACACATGTATTTAATATTACAATGTAAATTACACACAGTTTAATGTTAATATTCACACGATATATTCACTAAATAACTCTCATAAGTTATAACACAAACGCGTCTGGTCCCATTCAGACCCACGAAGTCGTTTGAGTAGCAATTAGTGCATTATACTATTAATTTGTCATTAGGAACAACAGACAACAATTTTATCGCTTGTTCTAAATGAATACATATAAAAAGTGCGTCACTTAATGCATTTTAGAATAGATTAACATAGTCGTTTGTTAGGTTTGAATGTGCCGATTAGCTTCTCTCGAACAATTGTGTTCCAGGAACATATTGCCATTATAGTATTGAAGTTTATAAATTACCGAAAGAATTTATTATTGTTAAATATTCAGATAAATAATCTGTGTCGCGATTTTACACATTTTTATACAATTTAACTTTTTTATTTATTAATTAAATATTTTCTAAAATAAAGATAAATAAACTTATTTATTTATGCAACAAAATATAAATATATATACAATATATATAAAATAAATATTTTATTAAAAATAAAAGATACCTATATACACAAATACACACATATATAGTAATAAACTTAAATAAATACCAAATAGTCTGACAGTCACAGAACTAAAGAGAGTTAAATTAAGTTACTCCTTATAACATTAGCGATCTGCGAGTGAAAGCCCCATCGAAATCGGACGAGCCAATTCAGAGATTAACAATTTTATTTATTTGGTTTTCATAATTAAAACTTAATTCTACAAAAAAAATATCCAGGAATAACAAAATTTATACGAGACTAATAGGTATAATAGAAGAGTTAGTTCTAAACTGTTCTGAATCCAATACTGCATAAAACAATAATAATAATATTAGAATTGAGAATGACATACACTTTGAAACAGTTAACAAACGGAATTCTAAAAGATATGCGCCACCACGCGTGAGATAAATAAACAAACAGTGTCCGTTTATCTGTCTATCTGATATATTTAGATATATAAGCTTTATATAGCAGTATTAAAATAAAATGGATACGTTATTCGTCATGTCCAAGTCAATTGATTAATGTATTTAGATATATGTATTTACTCATAGATATATGCAGAAAAATAATAATGTAAGGTTCCAATATATACACTGGTTATCAATAATGTATTATGTTCTGGTAGAATAAATTTTAGATCAGAGTGTATATTGGTGATAGAATAAAAGACCAATATAAATTCATTCAACTTGTTAAATATTCCATCAGCTAACATCTCCAGCAACTATTTATTAAATTGATATTTCTCCGAAGATGTCTATATTTTTAATTAGGGAGATAACAACATTTTCGTAATACTTGCCGATAAGAAGAAAAACCTGTTTATATTTACGTGTACGGAATGCTTGATGTAAACAAAAACCGGTCCAGTCAACTCACACTTGACCAGTTTTTATTTATACATTACATACATATTGTCAAATGGGGAAAGACTCGACTAATGAGCATTATCTGTTATACTTCTAGGAATATAAATATATATGTTAGCCGCGATTTCGTCTGTTTATTTTAAGAAAAAAAAAATAGCATGTGTTCTTTTACGTGTACAATGTATCGTTACGTCAAATTTTATTTAGCTTCATCTCCATTCTCCTGGGGACCAATGTGGTTAATTCTTGGCCAAAACTCCACCATAGGTGTAGTTAAATTATTTCATATTCATCCTTTTATGTTTCACTTGTATCTCGCCATCGTATACCATAGGTATACGATATATAACATATATAAGTGTTATATATGTTATATATCGTATACCTAAGTTCAAATGGGGCCACAATTCCACCATCATCAATAAAAGAAACCTAGTGTTGACTCTTGTAATATTTTTTCTATCTACATCAATAAATACATCAAATACTGAGTATAAAAATATTTTCATACTTAGGCCTACAACGTTAATCAGATTATTGATATGTTGAATGATAAAGATGCAATATTAGCTACAATCAACAACGATACCAAGCAATAAATTGAATGGCCACAACATTAGTTATGTCGAACTACTGACGCATGTTGAGGTCCAAAACGTGACACCAATATTAATCACGCTGGAAACCATTCAAGCACAGCGTAGTATTACGACAAAATATTTAAAGTTCATTTAACGACGCCTAAGATCGATACGATATGGAACCCAATCAATAATAAGTCAAAATTATTTGACATATAGCACACTATTGGTGATTAATGCCACTTTGAAATTTTTTTAGCACTATCCATAGCTTAGTACGGCTAGTTGCTTCAGTTGCGTAGAACTAGTAAAAAACGGAACCCTTATGTAATATTTTTTAACTGTCTTTTAACCTAGCTTTTCAGTTTATAGTTATTTAATATATCGACAATCCCGTACTAGAACAACTAACGCCATTTACGGACATATCCCAAATAATCCTTTACAGTGTAATAGGCGTTACTCATTAATAACAGTTCTTAATAAATCAGAACAATGTCGTTGAGGTTGTGAGTATTCTCAACACAAATTCAAGTCGGTCAGACTAAAATAACTAGCCTACTCATGTCACTAATTTATCAGGTTCCAACGAAGCAAAACATCCTTCGATAGGATGTCAAATTGGACAATCTTAGTCGTAACCTATTAATTGCTATAGAACTTCCCGAACCCAATGTTTTACTATGTGTCCGATCTTACTTAACTTTCCCGTAGCTGAGCTGATTATCTCATTACTTTTTATTTTAAGTGTCAAGTGCACAAGTCATCAAGTTTTTTAAATGGAATATAAAGGAAATTTAAAAAGACAGTTTTACTGATATTTTAATATTATCCTCTTCAATTCTCTTCTTGTGTTTTGATGTAACTTCTACACACTTGATCTTAGTTACTACTATTGGCGGTAGATACCGTATGTATGCAGGAAGTGCTAAAGACACCATTACGCAGCATTAGCCATGAATGGTCTTATTGACCGCCAGAAGGTCGACTCCTACCCGATTGGTTACGTCAGAGGGGATTACGAAAGGAACCTGGCGTGAATATATTTAAATAGAAAGTTAATAATAAAAGAAACTATGCTACTTACCGATATATCAAGGTATATACTACAAATGGAGATAAGTCTTCAAATTCATACAGAAGCTTCTGTGATATAGACGATGTTGTATTGGTTACATAAAAACATATTATTATAAGTTAAGCAATATATGGGTTTATCGATTATAAGCAATAAAATATATTAGTACATAGATAATGTCGACTTTAAGACACCAACTACAAGATAAATTAATTAGTAAACGAATCAAAGTAAGTCAATGTTCACATTAACAAGTATGTAACGTGATGCGATAAACTAGTTTGGGCGCTATGATAAGGACAGACACATAAGAAGAGTGTAATGCATTGAGGAAAACTGTCGAAACACTGGATAATGGGAGCATTGAAGCGGAATGACAGGGAGCTATAATAACTGAAGCGCTGTAATTGCATCTTGATAATTTATGCTTGTTTTTACAATACGTTCCATTTATGTACATTACATACGAGTACATGTGCGAGCGTCGTGCCCCAATACTTTGCTACCTAGACTTATAAACCTCGAACAGTTGTTGTCGACTAGATTTGTTTGTCAATTTATTTTTTTGACGGTTATTTGGATGATAATTATAACCTAAGTAACCTTAGGTTACAGAGCTGTCAGCTTCCTATCACTTTGGATTCAAACGTATTCAGCGTAATGTCAGCATGTCAAATGTTCGCAAAGACGCTGACAGTGACAATGGCCTTCAGTAATCTGTAATGGGGCAGTTTACAATTATATCTATTAGGAATACGTCCATACATACTCAACATATGAACGTTAACAAAAAATTGTTTTCGTAAGTAGATATTCAATAATAAATATATTTTCAGTGATTCTAATATTACTCTAATTGCCTCAGCCTATTATTATCAATCAATGTTGGTTAGATTAGAATGTTGTATGGAATTTCTATAATTAAGGGCAGGGTAAACTAAGATATTTAGAGAACAACAAGGCATGTCTGAAGTTCTGAAGTGATAATTAGATTTCCAATATTCATATAATAAACGACTTCTGTGGTGAAATGGGTCTGGGTCATTGAAGAAAAAAAAAGAGCGTATATCAGTTGTTTAATACCCATAATATAAGCTCTGCTTTGTTTAGAACTAGACAGTGTTGTTATTCGTCCTAGTTATTAAATGAAAAGGGTTGATATTCATATGCATACTGACGACTAGGAGTTAACATCCAAATAAATATATGTTAGGGGCGATGGAAATATCCATTTTATCAATTAATAACGAACTGCCGGCTTCACGGGCTGTAATTATTATAGGTATCTCTAATTTGGTAAATGTAAATTATAGC